GCGTCTACTTGCTTATTTTGCCACCGCACTATGCTCACGCCGCTTGCCGCCTCTGCTGCTGTAGCACTTGCTGACCCCTCCTCAGGTCTGGTAGTTTCTCGTAGCTCCACCAACCTTCCCTGTCTAGCGGTTCCCTCAAGCTCCCTTAACGGCTTGCACATCCCCTCGTTCTCTAGGAACCTTGTTGGTGTCGGCTGTCTTCTGGACCTGTACGCAGTCTGTACCGAGGCCGCGAGTGGTGCCCGTCTCACCACGTTCCCCCGGGACCTGGTGTCTGGCCTGTTCACGCTAGACACCGCGTCTCCCCAAGAGGGGGCGTCCCCCCAGATGGTTGCGTCTACCCAGGTCGCAGTGGCTTGCTCGTGCCAGTCGCTCATACACACGTCGCTTCTGTGGCACACCGCCTCGGTCACCCCGCTCTCCCGCGTCTGCGTCTCATGTCCCAGCACGGTCTTGTCTTAGGTCTCCCTACTTCACTCCCTTCCCTCCCTCCCTCAACCTCGCCTCTGTGCACACCTTGCATCGAGGGCCGGCTGCGCCATGCTCCTCACTCCTTCTAGTTTCCCCCCACCACTGCGCCACTCCAGACCCTGCACTTGGACGTTTGGGGTCCAGCCCCCGTCCTCCGCCCGCGTCGCGAGCGCTACTTTCTGGTTCTCGTTGACGACTACACGCGCTACATCATGGTGTTTCTCTTAGAGCGCAAGGCCAACGTGCCTGGTGTTCTTATCCCGTGGGTCGTAGCTGTACAAGTCCACCGCGGCCTCCCCATCCTGCGTCTCCACTCTGATCGTGGTGGCGAGTTAGGAGTACAAGTCCTAGGGGTACTATCGTGGCTTGTCCCGGAAGTCCTGGGGGTGGCACTTGTGCTGAAGAGGGTTCTCGTTCTGGGGGTGCTATTGTGGAGCGTCCCGGAGGTAGCCGTGGTGCGGCCGAAGGCTCTGGTGTCGGCGTGGAGCAGCAGCAGCAGTCTCCGCTGGTGTCTTCCCTTCGCCTCCTCATCCTTCCCTCCCCCGACCACCCGCCTGCGCCTCCCCCACTGCCGCCTCCCCCGCCTGTCTACGACCCTGTGTTTCATCCGTCAGACTCGTCCCTGACCCGTTTCCCCCCTCGTTCCCCTCCTATGTCTCCTTCTGTGTCTCCTGGCCCGACGCCTGCTTCCCACTTCTGGTCTTGCCGTCCCTCTCGTGCTCGTCCTATCTCCCCTTTTCAGCGTTCTCACCCTATGTTGCTCTGTTCTCACGCGTCTTGTGCTCCTCTTCTCCTGTCACCTTCTCAATCATCGCTTGTTGTCTCTCCGTGTCCTCTCTTTGACTTTCTTCATGTGGCTAGTCCTCTTGTTCCTCGGGTCCTCGCCCTTCTTATTACTGACCCATCCGTTCCTGTCTCGAGTCTTGACGCTCTTGTCTCTGCCGTTACTGACTTTGCCTCTACCGGCCACCTTTATTACGCTACTGCTCTGGTCTCTGACCATGCTCGTCCTCCGTCCGTCGGGGGTGCACCTACTCTTGGTAGTGACATCCTAGTGGACAGACAGTACGAGCTAACTTTCCTGTCCGAGGTCGCGCCTCATCTCTGCTCCACGCTGCTAGTCCCTGAGGGTGACCGAGACGCCCTCTACATCCCGACCCCTCACACTTACGCTGAGGCGATCTTGGGACCTTGGAATTCTCAGTGGATAGTTGCCATGGACGCGGAGATGGCATCTTGGAGATCCACCGGCACATACGTCGACGCAGTTCCCCCATCTGGGGTGAACGTAATCGATGGCCGGGGGCTCTTCAGAGTGATCAAGACGTGCTACGTTGCTAGAGGCTTCAGTCAGCGCGAGGGTGTTGACTTCTTTAAGACCTTTGCCCCGACCCCGAAGATGACCACACTTCAGGCACTGCTTTACGTAGCCGCACATTGCGACTACGACCTGGACTCTCTTGACTTCTCCACAGCGTTCCTCTAGGGCAGTCTGCACTAGCAAGTCTACCTACGCCGACCACCGCGCTTCTCTGGGTCTTTCCCTCCTAGGACCGAGTGGCACCTCCAGCGCCCAGTTTATGGCCGCGTCAGGCGCCTCATGAGTGGCACGACATGCTGCGTGCTAGGCTAGCTGACCTGTAGTTCTTCCCGTCCTCTGCAGACCCTTTGCTCTTCGTTCGTTCGGGCAAGACCCCGTTCTACATCCTTGTCTACGTAGATGACTTGGTCTTCATTACTTCTGACAGAGACGCACTGGCCTCCGTGAAGGCTGAGCTGCTAAGGAGACACACCTGCACTGACCTAGGAGAGTTGCACCACTACATTGGCTTGCACATCTCCAGGGACGGAGTAGTGCACACTACCACTCTCACACCGTCACACTTGGTGTGCCAGGTCCTTAAGAGGTTCGGTCTTCAGTTCTCCTCCGCACAGCCCATACCTTTGCCACTAGATCACAAGCTCTCGACTCTAGTCCCTGACGAGTCAGTAGAGCCTAGTGGTCCGTACGCAGAGCTGGTGAGTTGCCTCATGTACCTGATTACTTGCACTCGTCCAGATCTCGCATACCCTCTCAGCATCCTGGCCCGCTTTGTGGCGACAGGCAGACACTGACCGCAGCATTGGTCGGCAGCTAAGAGGGTTTTGCGTTATCTAGCAAGTACATGCGGCATGGGGCTAGTGCTGGGAGGACGCAGGTTAGTGGTCCTTACAGGGCACACACACGCTTCGTGGGCAGACGAAGCTGAAAATCTTAGGTCCTCCCAGGGCTACTGCTTTAGCCTTGGTGCACGCGCCATCTCGTAGAGGTCCACCCACTTGCCGTCTGTTGCTCAGTCTAGCTGTGAGGCTAAGATCTACGCTGATGCCATGGCGGCACAGGAGCTCCGCTGGCTGACGTTCTTGCTTACAGACTTAGGTGAGCGGCCTAGCTCTGCCACGGTCCTATACGCTGACAATAGGGCCATGATCCTTCTATGTCAGGAGCCTCAATTAGAGGGCAGAGCGAAGCACATCCAGCTGCGGTACTTCCTCCTGCGCGAGCTGCAGCAGCGCCTCCAGACCCGCGTAGTACACCTTGCTTCCGGTGCCAACATAGCTTATATCTTTACTAAAGCGCTTGCACCTAAAGATCATTAGCGACACTGTGTACAATTTGGTCTAGTTCCAGTAGCTCCTCACTTGCTAGGACCCTTATTATGTACTCCTGAAATTATCCGGACTGGCCTTGTGGCTCTTGTTCCAGTGGCTGGTCTAGTAGTGCGATCCTGGGTTACTCTTGTTTAGTTTGTGCTCTTGCTGACTGGTCTTTAGACCCTTGCCTCAGAGATTGGAGTAGTCTTGCCGCCCTGAGCTGTGAGTCTCTCGCTTGGCACTGCCCCTTGTCTAGCCTATGGTGTGTGTCAACTTATACATATCTTGCATATGTAGAAGTTATAGGCTAGTAGGATTCGTGCTCTTAGAGAGTACAACACTCAAGCATAAGAACCCTTGTATGCCCTTGTTTATTTCATTGCATTTTTCTGAGAATTCCCCCATACTTGAGTACCATATAATACAAGACCTGCTTTTGTGGAGCGTACTGATCGGTATCCTCCCATTTGGGATGCGTGTCTAATAATCATATCGTGGCACTGGGATAATCCTATTGAATCGATCCGCTCTCTATCTCTAGGGAGGCTACTTGGGAGGCTTTCTTCGGGGAAGGTGGATATATGGAGCCTAACCCTCATGATGACATCCCTTCTTGTCCCAGTGGTTAGGACTGGAGACATTATGACTTAGTATCAGAGCCATCTGGGGTTCAATTCCTGGTGTACACGCTATCCCAGCGGGGGTGTGTGTCATGGCACTGGGAGAACCTTGTCGATTCCTCTCTCTATCTCTAGGGAGGGCAATGGGGAGGCTTTCCTCAGGGAAGGTGGATATATGGAGCCTAACACTCCTGATGCCATCCCTTCTTGTCCCAGCAGTTAGGACTGGAGACTTTATGACTAAACATCCTATGGTTACGTTGCTTGAGCCAACCTAAAACTGCTGACACTTCATATTTTATTCAAAGTTTGTATCCAATCCAATGCCTTCAATAATGAGAACATGCTAAAGGCTAATCAATCGTTTAGATAAGATTTGTATGGTGCATGTGCAGCAAATGGAAACCGGATTTGTTGGTGTCCTTGACCAGCCAGTGGCCGACCACCCTGACACCTGCGATTTGGTGGAAGATGCTGGTGGCGATGCAGAAATTCCCCGTCATATACTCGGGAAATTTGGAACGCATCCGTTGTTCGGTAGGTAGAGATTCCTTTGCGCGTATGTCCGTAACAGTCATCCACTTTGCAGGCAAAGTCTGTCAGACTTCTGCAGTCGACGTGTCTGAAAAACACCATTCGCGTCAGGGCTATTTCTGAACTAGCCAGTCGCCCTACCAGGAGGCAGGGGTAATTTCTGACGAAATCTCAGCTCCTTCAACCTTGGGTCTTGCAGCACTTTGCTGAGGGCGCGTCATAAAAGTTCGCACCCTGTTCAGCACCGAGCTCGGAACCATTTTAAGGGCTGTAACCCTAAAAACCGCCAAAAAGGACAAGCACACCTGTCGCACAATATTTGGGGATGCGCGGACCCGTTTCGGAGCACATACACAAGAAACGCGATTCGATACACCTATTTGTACTTCGTTTTTTTGGGTCAATGCTGGCGAAATCAGGTGGCGAAAATATCCAGCACCTTTGGTCGGCACTGCGTTACAATTTCTGGTCGCCTTTTTCGCTTTGTGAGACAGAGTTACTCGCCAGGCAGCCTGGCTGCCACTGGGTGCGTCAAAGTGTATCCCTTCAATTGGATGCGATTCTTTGCAGGTTCCTTTTTGGAATCGATTCCTATTTTGCACCACTGCACGTCCCGCTGTGACCAAAACGGCTAAACGATTTTTCTAGACACGCCCTGATGATCCCAACTCCCGAGGGCCACCCACCACTCCCACCTGCACCACGCACAACCTGGGTTCATTTCAGCAGCAGCAAATGAAATCATTGCCAGAGCAATCATTCTCCCGTGTCCATGGCGGTCTAGGGTTGCTCAGATCAGACTCGGACGCCTAGGGCAGGTTTACGATCCCTTTTCTTACCCCAAGCTAGGGTTTTCGCCTTTTAATTGTTAACTCCGTCGATGTCCGATGAGACGTTTTAGACGATGGCTAGCAATGAGGATGCTCAATGCGCTTTAGCTTTAACAAACGACGACTTACTCGTTACTTCTGGCAAATGACGATGCTCACTGCTAACAATTGATGTTAGGAATGACAACAGCCTGGTACTCGTCAACTATGGCATTGCTCAATACTCGTTGAAAATGTCGATTCTTATCATTCATTGTAATGGTGACGCTAGCACTGGGGAGATGCACTGCCGCTTAGCAATGGCGATGCTCATGCTTTAAGTTCTTTCGTTGAACCTGCCCGTCGGTCATCACCAAAGCTCAGCTAACCAACATCCCAAAGGAGGCTAGGGGTCACTGACATGACAACCACTAAACGCGCCGGACGCAGTGACCTAGGCTAAGTCCGTCCGTCGGTCAATCATCGAAGCTCAGTTAGCCAGCAACACATCGGACCGTTAAATCGGAGCCATGGCGGGGTCGTTCGACGACCCGGATTTAGCGGTGGAGGACTACATTCCCAAGGACAAGGAAGGTGCGTCTGGCGGCTGAAGTATCTTCGTATAGCAGACCGGTTCTGTGCGCTTCATTAGAATCGGTTGCCGAATAGCCAGGCGCGTCCAGTGGATGACGACATTCCCAAGGACAAGGAAGCCTGATGTCTTACAGGTGGTTTTTTAGAATTCAAACCTGATGCGCGAGCGATGGTCCAAGGTGCGGCTCAGCCTGAATTACACGCCCGTTCACACCCCCTCTCCTCCACCTCCACACCCCCTTTCCCACCACACCCTAAGCAGACATGCAGCTGATGCTGGAAAGATGGTCCAAGCTTCTGCTGCCTTTTCTCACCCCCTTCCCCCCCCCCCCCCCCCCCCCCCCCTTTTCCTTTCCCACCACACCCCAAGCAGACATGCAGCTGATGCGGGAAAGATGGTCCAAGCTGCTGCTGGGAGACGATCCCTCCGGGGGAGCTAAGGGGTGCGGGCCTGCTCTTGCCATGGCCAACGCCATCACCAGCGTCTCAGGTACGTTGCTAGGGTTTCAGGAGTGTTGGTAGGGTTTCGGGTACACTGCTAGGGTTTGGGGTCAGATGTTTGTTTTTCAACCCAGCAAGGACCTGTGAATGCACTCACTACCAATGGCGGATGCCTAAGTGATTTGCTTCCCAGTGCCAAAAGCCATGATTCAGTACACACCCTCCCTCTCCCCCCTCTTCCCCCCCTTTCCCTCCCCCCCCTCCCCCTCCTTCCCCCCCCTCCCTCCCCCTCCCCCGCCCCCCCCCGCTCACTCTCAGCATCCATTTTCGGCGACGGCCTACGACTGCGGCCGTTACCAGAGGAGGACGAACGCAAGTGGCGGCGGGAGATGGGCATCATGGTGTCGGTGTGCCGCCACATAGTCGAGCTGGCACCTGCATGGACCACCCGGCCTGACGGCTCTAGATTTGAGGTATGAGGGACCGGACATGAAGGGCGGTGGGAAGGGAAGGAATGCAGGGAGACGGGCATCATGGTGTCGGTGTGCCGCCACATAGTCGAGCTGGCACCTGCATGGACCACCCGGCCTGACGGCTCTAGATTTGAGGTATGAGGGACCGGGACATGAAGGGCGGTGGGAAGGGAAGGAATGCAGGGAGACGGGCATCATGGTGTCGGTGAGCCGCCACATTGTGGAGCTGGCGCTAGCATAGACCACCCGGCCTGACGGCTCTAGATTTGAGGTGAGTGGGAGAGGGATAGAGTCAGGGGCAGGCATGGGTGGTGGGAAGAGGGTGGCAAGGGCCGTGGGGAGGGGAAGGAAAGGGAGATGGGCATCACGCTGTCGGTGTGCTGGCGGATTGTGGATGGAGCTGGCGCCAGCCTGGACCACCCAACCAGATGAAAGCAGATTCGAGGTGAGGAGGACAGGGAGGAAGGGGGTTGGTGAGAGAGAAGGGGGTCAGCAGGGGTGGTGGGGAAGGAGAGGGGGACGGGTCACGGGGGAAGCGGGAAGGTGGCCTTGTGCGAGCTGTCTCAGAACCAGCACAAGAGCTCATGGTTGTGGTTCCTCCACTTGTTAGATATCCTGCATTTCAACCTGTTTCCTGTGCCGTGCCGTGCCGTGCTGTGTGGTGCTGTGTGTTGCCGTGTGGTGCTGTGCTGTGCTGGCAGGTGATGCGTCGCAGTGTGCGAGCGGACCTTCGGATTCAGCTGCCGGCACTCAGCCAGCTCGATACTATGCTGCTGGTAATGTGCTGCTGCTGGTATGATGTGGCAACGTGCTGGAAGTAACACGTTATGGTTACACGTTCCTGTAACATGTTCTGGTAACCTGTTCTTCCCCCCCCCCGCCTTCCCCCTCTTCCCTCTCCCTCCCACAAGCAGACCAGCCAGTCAGACAAGTACTACTACGAGGACGAGCTGCCAGGGGGCGAATCTCCATGCACCCTTACCGTCCCTCCTCCCTTTTCCCCCTTCCCCTTTCCGGCTTCCTGTGCTTGCCTCTCCTTCAACCTTCAACCACAGACCATTCTGCAGCACAGCCAGTCGGACGAGTACTACTACGAGGACGAGCTGCCAGGGGGCGATCTAACCCAGGAGGACGGTGAGGAGGAGGAGGATGAGGAAGAGGAAGATGAGACCGAACGCGGTGACGATGATGTTGATGATGATGATGATGATGATGACGACCGAGAGAGCTTTGGAGAGGGGAGCATAGGAGGAAGCAGCAGTGGCATGGGCGGTATGGGCGGCATGGGGGGGTCGGCAGGGGACCTTTACGGCGCGGCAGACAAGCCGTTCAGGCGCAGTGCTACAGCCCCGTCCGAGCGACCCGCTACTAGCGCTGGCCCGTATGGGTCCGGAGGAACGGGTGGGCGGCTAGGAGGGGGTGGTGACGGAGGGGATAGGGGAAGGGGAGGGGGGCGGGGAGGGAGCCATGGGCATGGGTCGGGGCATAACTCTGTCCATGGGTCATCAACGCGTGGGTCGTCGACACGAGGGTCGTCAGCACATGGGTCGTCAGCTGACGAGGAGGAGTTTGTGGATGATGAGGCGCGCTTCAGCCAGGCGGGGGAATTTGACGGCGTGGGGCAGCAGCAGCACAGGCTTGGCTTGGGCTCATCGCCTGGATATTGCGCTGAGAGGCGGGGCAGTGAGGAGGACTTTCAGCAACAGCAGATGCAGATGCAGCAGCAGCGGGGAGGGGGAGGAGGGGAGGGAGAGGATGCATGCAGCAGTGGGAGTAACACGGGGAGTAATGCTGGGAGTGCCACGGGCAGCAGAGGGGGATCGAGTCCGAATCCCGGCTCGTCTTGGGGCTTCCACCAGCGGTCCAGCAGTGCGGCCACTCCTGCTGCTGCTGCTGGTACTGCAGCCAGTGGGAGCACAGGAGCAGGTGGATACGCAGGTGGATCTTCAGGTGCTCCTTCGGGTGTTTTTTCAGGTGGTTCTCCAGCCTCGGGCAAGCGGCGGGTGTCGTCGCGGTCCTCCAGTTTCAGCTACGACTTCTCGGCTCTTCTAGGGGGCGGAAGGAGCCGCGGGGGATCCATCACTGCTGCTGCTGCAGCAGCAGCTGGGGTAGGGGGGACAGGAGTGGGGGGGGGCATCCCTTCTGGTGGTGGTGGTGCTAGTGGGGGTCTCATGAGGGGACTCAAACGAAGTGTGACTGATGTGAGGGACAAGAGGATCACTCCAGAAGCCATGGGAGGGCCACATGACGGGGGAGGAATGGGAGGAGGCGGAGATGGGGGAGGCGGCAACCAGGTGTGGCGGTGGCGGATGAAGCCGCAGGTGCGGGGCCCGCTGGGGGAGGCGCTGGTGCGGTGGCTGGAGCAGCAGATGGAGAAGACGAGCCAGATCATGAAGCTCGCCATGACCATCAACCAGCAGGTGCTCCAAGACATGGAAGTCCCAGAAGCGTTTGTGCAGCGCCTGCCCAAGGTACGGCCTACTTGGGATAAACGCTATGTCAGGTGAGCCTGCTCAAGGTATAGCCTGTACCACTGCAGATCATGAAGCTCGCCATGACCATCGACCAGCAGGTGCTCCAAGACATGGACGTCCCCGAGGCCTTCGTGCAGCGCCTGCCCAAGGCGAGCTGGCTGCTGATGGTACACGGTACCAGGTAAAGCCATTCCAAGGTGAAGCAGGGTATTTAGGGATCTCCTCAGATCATGGAGCTCGCCATGGCCATCAACCAACCAGCAGGTGCGGCAGGAGATGGACGAACCAGAAGCATTCGTGCGGCGCCTTCCTAAGGTGAGTCGTGCGCTGATGTGCAGCAAGCTCCTACAGGGCACTCCTCACCGTTCCTCACCTAGCCCCCACCACCACCCCTCCCTCCACCCGTTCCCCTCCCCACCCGCTCACATCAGAACGTGAGGGCAGTGGTGGGTGCTGCATGCCAACCCGTCCTCGTGCTGCCACACTCGCACCAGCAATGCACCTCACTCACCATTTCTTTCCTCCACCCCTCCTCGCCCCTATCAGAACGCGGGGGCACTGGTGGGTGGGAGACAGGGTACACGCAGTGCTGCACTGCACGTCAAGTTGCCAACCCATAACAGTATTTTCTCCTCCCCTCCCCTCCCTTGGCCCTGCCCCACGCGGCCATCGTGCCCCTTCACCTCTTGACCTTCTCCTCTCGACTTCAGAACGTGAGGGCGGTGGTGGGCGACAGGGTGTATGCAGCGCTGCATGCCAACCCATTCACTGACGATAAGCTCCTATCAACAGTTGACCTTTCTAACCAGAAAGCGGCACTCAAGCTCGCCTGCAAGCTGGAGGCGGCTGAACAGATCTGGATGCGGCAGCTGTCGCTAGCAAGGTAGGATGGTTTCTGTACGGTCCACTGTGGTTGTGTGCGGTGACTTACAAGTTGAACCAGGGATCTCCAGCCAGAAGGCGGCGCTCAAGCTTGCGTGAAAGCTGGAGGCGGCTGAACGGATGTGGATGCGGCAGCTGGAAACTCAGTTGGTGTTTTTGAGAATTCTCAAAACCTTCTGTTGACCGTGCATGCATTTGAGGCGCCTCAAAAGAAAAACTCAGTTGGCGGTAACTATTTTGACCTTGCATGCACCCACCTGCTCCTCAAAACTCGTCTTTTCTGGCGCCTCAAAACCGAACGCTCCTCAATTGCCACCTCTGACCATTAGTATGCTCCCTGGACCTCGCCTACGATACCACACTCTCAGTGGCTTCACTCACAGTTCCATACTGCCAGTAGCTCATTCCTCTCCCCCGTGTACCTCGTTGTTAGGAACCTAAAAAAACCGCGTGATAGGAGTTTAGTTTTGAGGCGCCTCAAAACTCACAGTTCCATACTGCCAGTAGCTCATTCCTCTCCCCCGTGTACCTCGTTGTGAGGAACCTAAAAAAACCGCGTGATAGGAGTCTAGTTTTGAGGCGCCTCAAAACTCATAGTTCCATACTGCCAGTAGCTCATTCCTCTCCCCCGTGTACCTCGTCGACCTGGTGTGACCAGAGACCCCCAGCTGAGCCACACATTCACCAGCAGCAGCCGGGACGCGGTGCGATTGGAGGAGAGCCTTCAGCGCGTGTCCTCCTGCCTTGCTGCCATCCGCCGGCGCTGGCCCGACCTGCCACAAACAACTCTGGATTTCGCAAAGATCGCTTTTAACGGGGTACGTACGCTCTCTTGGGAACGCCAGTGCGTTGCCCTCAGCGCATCTCCTCCTGCCTCACTGTCATCTCCTCATTAGTACGCACACCCGTAACTTGGGTCTTCATCGATTCTCGCACCCTCAACTTTAGGGCATTGGGAAGGCTGCGCCTGACAGCTGAACCCATCGCATGCGCCATCCCCATGCCCGCACATGCTCTCGTTGTCATTGTGACCTCACGCCCCCTCCCGCATTCCCTCACCCCCCCTCACGCATTTCCTGACACTCGTCTCAGGACATAGGCAAAGCGGTCCTTGAGAGCTATTCCCGCGTGCTCGAGGGAGCGGCGTCCAACATCCGGTCTAGGATCCGCGACGTGCTGCACGCCAACTACCTCTTCTTGAACCCGCAGCAGTTCATGGACCTGCCGTGCGACCCGCACCCACAGGGCCTGCGCCACCCGACCTTCAGCGTGCTCATGCCGGAGACCGTCTTCGATGCCGTCTCCCTCTCCAGCGACAACAGCGAGTCCACCAACGGTAGCGTGCGCTCCTTCGACTCCAGCCGCAGCGGCGGCAGCACCCGGTCGGGGAAAGGGGCGAGGGGAGGGGGAGTGGGTGGAGGAGGGGGTGGGGATGGTGCAGCGGGGTTGGGTGCGGCGGTGGGTCCGGGGTATCTGAGCTCGGGGGTGCTGGGGAAGGCCTCGGCCAAGTGGGACATGCGGCCGCCTCGCAGCCCTGAGCTGCGCAGCCCGTTGATTGCGGGTGCCATGGGGCGGCTTAGTGTCGGTGGCAGTGGGGGGGCGGTGGGGGGGGTGGGAGCGGGCGATACATGAGGAGCCCTCTTCATGGGGGGAATTCCGGGGGTCCCGGTGCTGGTGCTGCTGCAGGTGGTGGTGGCGGGGTAGGGGTAGGGGGAGGGGCGGGAGTGAGTGGGGGTGGAGGTGCCGGGGTTTATCCTTCTTCGGGGTCTGGGGGAGGTGGATCTGGGGGAAGCTCGCCCTCTGCCAGTCCCAGCCGGCCGGTGCAGAGAGATAGGTTTCTGAGGCGCACCGGGTCGTTGCAACCCACGGGGCGGCGGGGGAATCGGTCGTTTGGAAGGAGCCAAAGCGGGGGGGTGGCAGATGAAGTCATGATGGGGATGGATGGGATGGGCGGCGGTGGGGGCATGATGATGGGTGGCGGTGTGGGAGGAGTGGGGGGAGGAGGAGGAGGAGGAGGGCGTGGAGGGGGATCGCCTGGTTACCAAGTTTCACCATCACGAGGACAGGTGCAATTTTCGCCAGGTGCTGGGTTGCCGCCTCAGCCTCCAGCGAGGACTCGATCCGCCAGTGCAGACTGGAGTTGACCCTCTGATCCTGATTTTTTTTGTCTTTTTTTTTTTTTTTTTTTTTTTTTTTTTTTTTACGTTTCTTTTCCTAACGAGCAATGCTGCATTATATTCAGACAAGGCAAAGGGGGTATTTATTCATATACTACTCAAATGACATGCCTCGTTATCATCAACAAATTCTCTCATTTCCACTTGGCCAACGAATCTGATGAGCAAATTCTGCGACTGCAATGTGGTAACGCGCACTTCGCTTCGTGGCGAACTCAGACGAGTCATCGCGATACGACAGCTCGAGAGATGACGCCACGTGGAATCAGTGCACGAACCTATCCACCTTGGTAATTCCATTCAATATGCCTAGATTACTCTAATTATTCTACCACCACTCTTGCCTGTGCTCTCTAGTCCTGTTGTTTAGGTCTGGAAAGTCGATTTGCCAGGCGTCATGTCTCTAACCATGGCTGCGAGCGCCGCAGCGGCGCGTTCCACTCTAGCGGGCGCTCCGCTCGTGCAGCCGTGTGTAGCGGAACGGACGGACACGTCCGCATTTCGGTGTTTGGGAGGCTCCAGGAGTTTACCTTACAGACAAGTGGCTATTGTAGGCTCGAGTCGCAGAACCTTACGAGTGAGATCTAGCCAAGAATCGAATAAAATCTCGACATCCACGGGCTCAGACTGTTCTAGTTGGGAATCACAAGAAAATAACGGAGCCTCCTCTAGCGGAGCATTCTCGCGCAGAGCTTCCCTGCTTCTCGCCGCATCTGCCGGCGCGCTGCTTGCCGATTGGTCCGTTCTCCCCGCAGCGCAGGCGCTGCCGTTTCTGCTCCCGCCGGCCGGCTTCCGGCTTTACGTGGATCGCCTGGACGGCTACTCGTTCTTCTACCCCGACTCGTGGGTGGAGGTGAGCTGCGAGACTCACGCGCTTACGATTTAATCGCAGGCATTGCGAGTCACGGAACCCGATCTGCTTGAGCCGATTGACCGCCTGTATCCCGATCCTTGACCGATCGTTTCTGATCCTGGGATGGGCTTCGCTTCTCATCTCCCGCCCCTTTCCAAGCTTCTTTTTCCTTCTCGTCCTCCGCCGCTGCTTCTCCGTCCTATCCGCCGTCAGGTGCGGGGATCCGGGCAGGACTGCTTTTTCCGCAGCTCGTTCAACCTCGACGAGAACGAGGAGACTTTCGAGTCGACTCAAACTTCTTGTCTATTTTCACTCTCCAGTGCTGTTTCCCCGTCCCTTTCACCCTCCCCCTCCTTTTCTCCCTCCATTTCTCCCTCCATTTCTCCCTCCACTCCCCCCTCAGGTGCGGGGATCCGGGCAGGACTGCTTCTTCCGCAGCTCGTTCAACCTCGACGAGAACGAGGAGACTTTTGAGTCGACTCAAACGCTCTCTTTCACCCTCCTTTTCTCCCTCCATTTCTCCCTCCATTTCTCCCTCCATTTCTCCCTCCATTTCTCCCTCCACTCCCCCCTCAGGTGCGGGGATCCGGCCAGGACTGCTTCTTCCGCAGCTCGTTCAATCTCGACGAGAACGTGAGCGTCGAGGTGTCGTCGCCATCGTCGTCGCGATTCGCGGTAAGTGTGCTGTGTGCGCGGCGCATGGGATCAGATACATGTCTGTCTTACTGCCAACATCCAAACAAGTGGCACTGGCTTGGACTGGACCGCCACGTAAGGGCGAAAGCCAGTACTGCGAGAGAAATTATCAAAGGAAATGAGATGGTGGAGTGTTCTCTAATGAGAAAGAAAGGCGCTATCATCGTAGCGCATGCGTCCGCGTTCATCGCGCCTTCCCCCATCTCCCCTCCTCTTCCCCTCGATCCCCCTTCCGCACTCTCGGCAGTCCGCGCGAGATCTCCCGCGTGACGGTCTCCAGGCAGCCAGCGAGCGCATAAAAAAACAGCTTATAACGGAGTTCATGTCCACGCGCTTCCCATACCGCTCTGTACCCCTCCGTAACCCCCCATCGCTTCTCAGTCCCGTGCGTGACCTGGGAGACGCTCAAGCAGCAGGAACGCGCGTGGAGGAGCAGCTGCTAACGGAGTTCATGTCCATGCGGCTCCTGTATCCCCTTGTACCCCCTTGTACCCCCTTGTACCCCCCTGTACCTCCCTGTACCTCCCTGTACCTCCCTGTACCCCGTTGCACATTCCTTGCGCGATCGAGGCGATGCAAATGCAGCAGGAAAGCGCGTGGAGAAGCAGCTGCTGACGGAGTTCATGTCCGCGCGCCTGGGCGTCCGGCGTGAGGCAGCCCTCATCTCCTGTGCCCCCCTGTAATCCCCCCCTCCCGTGACAGTCCGTGCGCGGCCTGGGAGACCCCCAAGCTGCAGGCTTGCGAGTAAAGGCCGCCCTCATCTCCTGTACCCCCCTGTTTCCCATTCCACAGTCCGTGCGCGATCTAGGCGATCCAAATGCAGCGGGCAAGCGCGTAGAGAAGCAGCTCTTAACGGAGTTCATGTCCACGCGCCTCCTGTAACTCCCTGTACTCCCCTGTACCCCCGTGTACCCCTCTGTACCCCGCTGTACCCCGTTGCACAGTCCGTGCGCGATCTGGGCGATGCAGATGCAGCAGGGAAGCGCGTGGAGAAGCAGCTTCTAACGGAGTTCATGTCCACGCGCCTGGGCGTCCGGCGCGAGGCCTCCCTCATCTCCTCCGCCACTCGCGTCGTGCCAGCTGGCACGGGCAGGAGAGGCGCCGGGGAGGCGGAGCAGGACGCGGAGTACTATGACGTGGAGGTGAGGGGGAAGGGGTGAGGGGGAGGGGAGAGGGGGTGGGGGGAAGAAGGGGAAGGAGGGGGGGACAAGGGGGGGGGGGGGGGGGGGGGGGGGTGGGCAGGGGAGGAGGAGCAGGACGCGGTGTACTATGACGTGGAGTTGGGGGGGAGGGGGGTGAGGGTGGAGGAGGGATGCAGGAGGGTGTTGGGGGAAGGGAGGGGGTGGGGGGTTGTGTAGCAACCAGATGCGGATTACTGTGACGTGGAGGTGAGGGGGAGAGAGGGGGGATGGAGGGTCAGGCGTGGGGTCAGGCTTGGGGTCAGGCTTGGGATCAGGCTTGGGGTCAGGCTTGGGATCAGGCGTGGGGTTAGGCTTGGAGGAGGAACTGGTTGACTGATTGGAGATGCAAGGAAGAGAGGGAGTGCGTGTGACAGAGAAAGGATGGTCCGTTGTATTTCCGATCTGGGAGGTGAAAAGAGTTTTCTGCTGCCTCAAATCTCTTTTCTCCTCCTCGTCCAATTCTGGGACTTCCCTTCCGATTTCCAGGCTGTTGACTGCGCCCTTTTTTCCCTCCCTCCCATCCCTCTCCGCCCCTCTCCGCCCCTCTCCCTTGCCCCCTTCTTGCCTGATCCCCCATCGTCCATTCTGTTCTTGCTTTGAGCTGACCTTGAAATCATATGCCACCAACAACCAGCTCTTTCTGCTCGAAATTTCAACAACTGTTTTCACGTCGATTGAGTTCTTTCAGCAACAATTGAGCTCTTTCAGCAACAATTGAGCTCCTTCCCCATCACCCCCCCGTCAGCCTTCCTCCCTGCTCCTTCTCCCCCCCCCGCTTCTCCCCTCCTGTGTCGTACCCTTGCTGCCTTGCTGGACGTGAACTCACACGCCGACAGCAACCAGCTCTTTCCCCATCGTCCCCCCTCCCTGCTCCTGCTCCCCTCCCTCCCTCCCTGCTCGCCCCCTCCCTCAGTCCTGCAGCTGAACTTGAAATCCTATGCCAACAACAACCAGCTTGCAATCATGCCTCTACCTGCTCCCCCTCCCCTCCCTCCATTGATATCCCCCCAACCACCCCCCCCCCAACCCCCCTCTCTCCCCCCCCCTTGCAGCTGAACGTGAAGTCATACGCCAACAACAACCAGCTCGCCATTATGCCCGACGAACGCGTGCAGGTACGCTCCGTCTCCTCTTCTCTCCTCCCCTGCCACGCCCTCCGCGCACTCCCGTTTTACACTCCCCACTTCTCGACACGGACAACATGGTTTGTGTCGTGACAACTGAACATAGAATAGATTCATGACACAGACCATGTTCGGATTCAGAGGCACCTCAAGCGCAGCGAATCATCATCTCTCACTACTGCCTGCCTGGCACCATTCCTTGCTCAACTGCCAATGAGCCACGTATGCCCTGTATGGGAACATATGAGCTCACATGTGACTCACCCAATGTATGGCACACTCCATCTATGTATGGCTCACCCCATGTATGGCCCACCCCATGTATGGCTCACCCCATGTATGTATGTATGGCTCACCCCATGTATGCCTCCTCTGCCCCACCCCTCAGGTCCTGGAGTGGAATCGCCGCTATGTGCAGTACTCGTAGTGGGCAACGGATTGTTACCTTTCTTGCGTCTTAGCCTAGTTTACTATCTGAGACTACTCTGTGGCTTGCTGCGGGTCGAACCCACCTTTTCTTCATCATGACAGTACTCGTAGTGGGCAACAGACTGCGGCTGCACGAGCTGTGGCCGCAGGTGCTGGAGTGACTGCCGGACACAGAGAAGCCAGGTGTCCCATTCTGTATGTTAACAATGTACTTCCAATATGTGCACACTTACCACCCCCCCCCCCCCCTTTCTCACCAGGTGCTGGAGTGGAATCGCCGCTACCTGACAGTGCTGGCGGTGGCCAACAAACGGCTGTTCCAGCTGCGGCTGCAGGTGCCCGAGAGACTGCTGGACGCCGAGAGGCCGGTATTGCGGCAGGTCATGGACTCGTTCCGCGTCTTCAGCGTTGCGGAGTAACCAGTTATGGAGTAATGTGTTACAGCCCAATTTTGTTGTAGGACTTGTTCCACACATTTCAGCATTGCGGAACAACCAGTTCTAGGCGTATGCGTATCATGTTAGTCAGTAGGTTTTGTCTGGTATTGAGAATTGTCCCAGCATCATTTTTCTGACAGTGCTCAGCAGTGTAGTGGAACAACCACCACAGCACACACCAGTCTGCAATCTAGATCGAAGAGGTGACTTTTTGTCAACCCAAATGCCTGAGTCGAGTGCATGCAGGGAGGCCTGTGCTCCGATGATAAGTCATGGAATTGTTAGACTCCATCAGCGCAATTTGTGGGGGTGGGGGGCTAACCTAACCAGGCTCACTACACAGCCCCCTTTGTTTGACGCACACGTTGTTGGGCTCAGGAGTCAGGAGTCAGGACTTGCAGCTCTTCAGCGGAACGAATCCATGCACTAGCAGCAGGTGCACCCACCACCACGCCACATGCATCCTGCATGCGCTTGGTGAAATTTCTCAACAAGGCCCTAGTGTCAGTCTGCTAGGGGAAAGTGTTTTTGGACCTGTGGAGTGGATGCAGGGATAGGGATGGTAGGAGAGTGAGAAAGGGGGGGGAAATCAACCAAGGGAATAGCTCTTGCCAACGAGTGGAGTGGAGAAAAACCAGCATTGGGCTGCAAAAACAAGGCATTCCAAAGAACTTGCGTGAGTTATACTACCGTACGCAGATTCGAACGTCAAAAACAGATGAATTTGTAAACACAGAAAGGGTCGAGAGGCTTGCCTGGTGAAGGAACTTGGCGAAAGTGGGATGAGACCTGGCTGCTTCTAGCGCCTAGGGAACACAGAGAGGAGATGAGAGCTTTGAGTGAGATGGGTTGGGATAAGGTCATGGGCGCTGGTGCAAGGTTGACAATGACAGGCAGCGAGCAAGTGGTGAAGGAACTTGGCGAAAGCAGGATGACACCTGGATGCTTCTAGCGCCTGGGGAACACAGGCGGGGGATGAGTGAGGTGAGAAGGTGATGGGTGGGATACGGCCATGAGCGGTGCAAGGCTGACAGTAACAAGGCAGCCAGCGAGTGGTGAAGCGCGCGAGAGTGCTTGAGTGGGGCTGGAAGGACAAAAGGCGCTTGTGAGAGGACAATAGGGGACTTATGTGTGAGCTGTGATGGAGTGGGAACAACGGTAGCAGCAGGGTGGTAACAGCAGGGTGGTAACAGCAGGGTGGTAACAGCAGGGTGATAACAGCATGGTGGCAGCAGCAGGGTGGCAGCAGCAGGGTGGCAGCAGCAGGGTGGCAGCAGCAGGGTGGCAGCAGCAGGGTGGCAGCAGCAGGGTGGCAGCAGCAGGTAGTGTTGAAGCGAGCAGCAAGCAGCAGGGTGCAGCACTGACTGATTCTGGATGCGGTGATTTATCGATGAGTAGCAGCAGCCGCTGCAAATCGTGGTCCCTCAGCTGCTGCCTCAGCGCCGAGTCGTCCGCTGCCAAGGGATGGGCGAGGAAAGAAGGGGAGAAAGGGACCAGGCTGGAGGAGAAACGAGGCCAGTGTGACGCAGTGGCCGCTGCAAGCAACTCGTGGTCCCTCAGCTGCTGCCTCAGCACCGAGTCATCGGCTGCAATGGGAGGAGGAGGGAGGAGCGGGAGGGAGAAGAAAAAAGGGAACAGAAAGTGGGAAGAAGCCTAAGAGGGGAGTGAGAGGCTGAGGGGACAGGCACAAGGGCGGAGGGGAGATTGAAGAGAGTGGGAAGAAGCCTAAGAGGGGAGTGTGAGACTACTGCTGCTGCTGGGACTGCTGTCACGAGCCCCCTAAACACATAGCCACACTCAAGATCCACCCACCTATCTGCCTGAGCGTGCGGCGGCAGGGCAGGCGCCAGGAGAGCTCGTCCACATCCTCGCACTCCTCAAACGGCCGCACGGGCTGCTGGGCTTACGGAGCCTTCCAACAACCAACCGTAACATCCTAAATGCTTGTATCCAAGCCCCTGCTACTCACCTATCTCCCTGAGAGTGCGACAGGGCAGTCGCCAGGAGAGCTCGTCCTCATCCTCGCACTCCTCAAACGGCCGCACGGGCTGCTGCGCCCTGCTGCTGCTGGGATTAGCGCTGGGACTGCTGTCTCGGCCATCAGCTGTGGTGGGGGCTGTAGCTCCCGCCTCTGCTGCCGCTGTGGCAGGCTGCTCCCGAGGCTGGCATGGCGTCTCTGCAGGGGGTAACGAGGAGAATGCGACGTGCAGGAAGAGAGGCAGCTTTCTTCGGTGCGCGATCCAATCTCAAGGGTTTGTTTCTCTTGGAAGAAACAAAAAGAGCAAAACGCTGCACCTGAAACCTAGACCTGAAACCCTGAACCTCCAAAACCCTAACCCGGCACTTGTACCTAACCCCAAAACTTCACACATGGCACCCTGAGCCTTAAACCCTGTATCTGAACCCCTACGCTTGTCTCTTCTTTAGACCCAAAACTTCACACATGACGGCTAGAGCCTGGAACCCTAACCCCCTGAACCCCTAACCCTGAAACCAACCCTGAAACCCTAACCCTGAAACCCTGACCCTGAAACCCTAACCCTGAACCCCTAACCTTGAGCCCCTGAACCCCTAACCCTGAAACCCTAACCCTGAAACCCTAACCCTGAACCCCTAACCTTGAGCCCCTGAACCCCTAACCCTGAACCCCTAAGCTTGAACCCCTAACCATGAACCCCTAACCCTGAACCCCTAACCTTGAGCCCCTGAACCCCTAACCCTGAAACCCTAACCCTGAACCCCTAACCTTGAGCCCCTGAATCCCTAACCCTGAACCCCTAAGCTTGAACCCCTAACCCTGAACCCCTAACCCTGAACCCCTAAGCTTGAACCCCTAACCCTGAACCCCTAGACCTGAACTCCTAACCCTGAACCCACCCGCCTCCCGATCCCCTCAATCCCATCTGTCGTACGCCTGAGAGTAACGTCTGGCGTTACCTTTGTGCGTCCTGCAGCAGGCGACGGAGCAGCTTAGGACGGCAAGCAACGGCGGAAGGCGACGGATGGAGGCCGGAATGTGGGGGATGGCAAGAAGGAGGTGCGTGTGTGGGGTGGGGAGGGGAGGGGGGTTTGGAGGAGAGGTAAGGTGAGGAAGTATTTGCGGGCAGGTAGGGATATGAAATCCTCTAACGAATGCGAGCAAAAGGGTCAATAACGGAATTAAGAAACGAACATAACGAACATAGGAGCACGTTAAAAACCGGAGTTCCGGAAGGTGAGAAAAGGTTGATTGGCTCATGGGTCGTACGCACTAGGGAGCAAGACACGTGGGGCATTTGTATTTGGCGGCTTGCGATCGGCACACGGCGCACGGCTGCTGTCCACCCTTCGCCATGCTGTGCGACAAGCCTGCGACACAAGCGTGCGACACAGGCGTGCGACAGGCGTGCGACGGCGTCTGGCTCAGGCTTCCCTAGATTGACCGAAGAGATGCTACGTGGGCAGGCTGCGACGGTGTGCGACACCTATTCTCCGAGGACGTCCTGTGATACGGTCTCTCCTGAAGCGTTCTGTTGATGACGGATTTTTTAGTCGACTCAATAGTCACCGTGCGAGAGCCAACAACCAGCTCAAACGAGGGTAGGTTGTGAAACCTCGAGCCTTCTGGTCTGATCTTTCTGCGTGCTGTGTGCACATGAGGGGGGTTGGTTGGAGCGGCTTGTGGAGAGGGAGGCCGATGATCAAGCGTACGACACTTGAAACAGCATCCCGCGAATACAGGTGGATTTTGAGAATTCTGAAAACGCACTTTGTGTTGGGCAGGGCAATATGGTCAGTCTAATATGGTTCGACGTGGTTCAGAGCGGTACAAAATACATCTTCTCTACCCTTGGGAATGCCGCCGCCACATTCATTTCACCTCTGCCTCCAACCTTCGCTCTCCCCGTCATTGCTGCAGTCAACTTTCTCCGCCGTAACGCTGCTGAAGGATCATCCCAGGACAATGCTGGTAGCTTGACTACCCATCTGGACGTGACGTAGTACTGTACTTGACAATGCAGTGGTAGCTTGACTACCCATCTGGACGCGACGTAGTACTGAACTTGACAACGCAGTGGTAGCTTTCGCGTCCCACCGACTACGTGTGCCTGTACGCTCAGTCCCCTCGCCAAAGGCTCAGGGCTCAGGACGCAGCGTAGCGTTTCGAACACCACCTGAGAGGTGTTAGTAACGAGATGCTCTTATAACGATGTTTTTACCCCGTCGGGCAAACCGGCAACTTCTCCTCCTGCTCGTTTTCCTCTCCCTTGCAGCAACCCGCCTTGCTGCCGCATCTGGTACGCATATTTCACTCGGGCTCTTCCCTCTTTCGTCCTTTCGACTCTCGCGTCCCTCACTCATCTCTACCTACCGCAACAAGAAAGATGGCTCTCGAAATAAGTAGGCTTGAATCTGCTCACAAACACCTCACCAATTTTTTCCTCTTTGACTGCACTCTCGTCCTTCTCTCCTCTTTCCCTCCCCTCTATCTCTCCGCTTCTAACGCGGATGCTCAAGCTCAACCTTTGCGTTGCTCCTCTGCTCTCCTCGCCACTGGCGTTTGACCCATTCAGACGAGGACTCCCCTCCACCACACGATTCACCGTCATCAGAAGTATCAACGGCCACTGTTTCCGAACCTGATCCGAAGCCCGATGCTGGGTCCGACTCCAAACCTGATCCCGAGCCTGATACCAGATCTGACACCGAGCCAGCCAACGAACCTGCCAGCAAGCCGGCCACCGAGCCTGCCTCAGCAGACAATGCGTCAAGCTGTCCATCAAGTGAGAGGCGGTGTCGTTGATCCGACTGGAGGTCCGGGTTGAAAGTTACTGCTGTTGGAAAGGGGCACCTGGGTTGCCCTACGTTTTGAGACGCCTCGAAACGAAACCAACTGCTATTGAAAGGGGGCATTGGGGTTACCATAAGCCTGCTGAGTGAAGGGCTATGGACATCAGACCTGGGGGTTGTGCCTGGGGGGTTGTGCCTGGGGGGTTGTGCCTGGGTGGTTGTGCCTGGGGGATTGTGCCTGGGGGGTTGTGCCCGGGGGTTGTGCCGGGGGGGATGTGCCCGGGGGGTTGTGCCTGGGGGATTGTGCCTGGGGGGTTGAGCTTGGGGGGTTGTGCCTGGGGGGTTGTGCCTGGGGGGTTGTGCCAGGGTGTTGTGCCCGGGGGGTTGTGCCTGGGGGGTTGTGCCTGGGGGGTTGTGCCTGGGTGGTTGTGCCCGGGGGGTTGTGCCTGGGGGGTTGTGCCGGGGGGGTTGTGCCCGGGGGGTTGTGCCTGCGGGGTTGTGCCTGGGGGGTTGTGCCTGGGGGGTTGTGCCTTGGGGGTTGTGCGTAGGGGGTTGTGCCTGGGGGGTTGTGCCTTGGGGGTTGTGCGTAGGGGGTTGTGCCTGGGGGTTTGTGCCTGGGGGGTTGTGCCCAGGGGGTTGTGCCCAGGGGGTTATGCTTGGGGGGTTGTGCCTGGGGGGTTGTGCCGGTTGTGCCTGGGGAACATTTCGCTCCTCTTCTTGCTTATCCTTATCCGTTCCTTTCTGGTTGCCCGTCCATTAAGTTAACCATCCATTCTCCTCTCTCTCAACCCCTAGCCTCCGAGCCCTTCCCCATCCATGGGTCCGTGTGTCTGTGCCCCTGCGCGTCTGCTTCAGACAAATTCCACCCATCCCTACTCCCAATGTGCGCTTACTTTCCCTTGTCCACCCTTTCCCCCCTCCCTGCTCACTGCGCCCTTCCTCCGCTGGTCAGCCCTTCCCCATCCGTCGGTGAGCCCCTGCTCTGCCTCCTATTTCACCCCTCACCATCCTCCTTATGCTTTCGCTCAACCCCACCTCCCCCTTTTCCCCCCTTTCCCCCTCTCCCCCTTTTCCCCCCGCTCCCTCCTTCCCTCACATCTTCTCTCCCCAAATCAGGCGTCCTCCGGCCGTGGGTGTGCGCCTGCAATTCCTCTCTGAACCCATCGCCCTCCCCACCACCCGAGGACTCCATGCCCGCTATAGACATCTCCTTTAAGGGCGAATTCGGGTATGAGCTGATCGCAGTGCTTCCCCACGCCTACTGGCATTTACTGAACGGCACGCTCCGATCGACCAAGTCATGTGGCTCCTCCCTCTCCCTCCTCTACTACTTCAGCCCCGCCCATGCCACTGACCCCAACTGCAAACGCTCAAACGACCACAATCACGTGATTAAAGAGTATGGTTTCTCCAAGGGCCTTCATTTTAGTGACATTCCGGAGAACTGGCACCCCCCTCCGCTAGTGTACCGGACTCGGGAGCTTGGACGGGTGTGGCTGGATGTGCCTATAGGGGCGCCGCTTGTTATGATAAGCAACAAGTATGAGATTGAGTGGGCTGAACCTCCTGCCAATTTCATCGACGTGCCAACCCTCCTTACAGTCATTCACGAGTTTCTCAATAAGGGGTATTATGTGGTGTATAACCGGCCTGGGAAGTCAATCAAGGCGGACCCAGAGCAAGGAGACAGGGACGACTTGGGGGATCACCCGAGGCTGGCTGAGGAGTTTGGGTCAGAGGCTCGTTTCCGAACCATGCAGCAGATCCACGAGGTTTGGCCGAGCCTGGATTTCAACGAGGTTCAGTTTAGAATGATGGCTAGAAGCTCTTGCTTTGTCAGTGTACAGGGGGGTAGTTCTGTGCTGTCGAGTTACTGGGGCGGGAAGAATGTTATATTTTATCGGAAAGGGTGGGAGGGACAAGGAGGAGCTTATGAGAGGATTTATCATAGGATGTCTGGGGCAAAGATAGAGGTGACTAAAACGTATGAAGTGCTTCTGGAGAGATTGCAGGAGATGATTAGAGAAGAGCGGTGTAAAGCTGTGTGACATGTGTGGACATATAATTTGTATATGTAATAGGCTAGCTAGGTGCATGCTTATATAGGTAATATCCCCTTGTACCACCTCATTCTAGTCGATTCGTTCTACTCAGAGATGGTATCAGATTAGGTTAGGTCCGCCCGCCCGCTTCCACCCTAGCCCCTAACGCTCCGCTGGCCCCGTTTGTGCCCCGCTGGCCCCGTTCGCCCTGCTGGCCCCATTCGCGCCCCGCTGGCCCCGTTCGCGCCCCGCTAGCCCCGTCGAGTCCCACTAGCCCCGTGCGCCCCGCTGGTCCCATACGCCCCGCCGGCCCCGTTCGCCCCGCTGGCCCCATTTGCGCCCTGCTGGCCCCGTGCGCCCCACTGCCCCCCGTATGCCCCGCTGGCCCCGTTCGCGCCCCGCTAGCCCCGTTGAGCCTCGCTAGCCCCGTTGAGCCTCACTAGCCCCGTGCGCCCCGCTGGCCCTGTACGCCCCGCTGGCCCCCGTACGCCCCGCTGGCCCCGTTCGCCCCGCTGGCCCCGTTTGCGCCTGGCTGGCCCCGTGCGCCCCGCTGCCCCCCATACGCCCCTCAGGCTCCGTACGCCCGCTGGCCCCGTTCTCGCTGGCCCCGCGCTAGCCAGCCCTGTGTTCGCCGGCTCCCGCGCTTGCTGGCCCCCGCGCTCGCCAGCCCCGCGCCCGCTGGCCCCGCGTTTGCCGGCCCCGCGCTCGCTGGCCCTGCTCTCGCCAGGCCCCAGCTCACCGGCCCCCAGCTAGCCGGCCCCTAGCTAGCCGGCCCCTAGCTAGCCGGCCCCTAGCTTGCCGCCCCCCGGCTCCACCGGCACCTGCTCCGCCGACCACAGCCCGCACCGGCCTCGCGACGTGCAACCGCCGCGCCGCAGTGCCGCTCTGCCGCCCCCGACCTACCGGCCTTGGCCCCTCTCTGCGCCGGCACTCCTCCCGGCTGTCTCCACTGCTCTTCACCGCACTCCACCACCCACCATCACACTCCACCGCTCTCCACCGCACTCCACCTCCCTCCACCATACTCCACCACACTCCATCTCACTCCACCGCTCTCCGCCTCCCTGTCCTCCGCCTTTCCTCCTCTCCCTGTCAGCGGCAGTCATCTGCTGCAACCGTGATGGTGGTGGACTCACTGCTCCGCCTAGATGCGGAGGGTCAAGCGATCGACTTCGAGGCGTGGCTCATCGACCTTCGCCGTCACCTTACAAGTCAGTGCCTAGACGGTCACTCCCTGGCTGTTCATGTCGATGGCCTGCTTTCCCACCCCGCTACGCCAGTTGCCCTCCCTGCTGCTCCCACCACTGCTGAGCGTGAGGCCTTTTCCACTCCTACGCTTGCTCGTGCTATCTGGGACCCGCATGACGCCGTCGCACAGCTTGCTATCAGTCACGCGCTTCCCCTGTCTGAGCATCCACGCCTTACCACTGTAGCGAACGCCCAGGAATTCTTAGGAATTCTTGCACCCCCGCCACAGCCTCTGCTAGCCGCCTGATCCTCTCCATGCTATTCCCTGATCTTACGTCCTTCCCCACTGTCGCCGATCTTGCCACTCACCTCCGCGCACTTGAGACTAGCTACCGTGCCACTAGCACTGAGGCTCAGCTCAGTGCCTTTCCGCCGCTGCTTTGCGATACCCTCTACCTCATTGCCATGCGCCTTCTAGATTGCCTAGCCATTGCCTGCGACCACTTCCTTAGTCAGCACCCAGGTGACCTCACCCTTACCGCCTTTGTCACCACCCTGCTCGAGATAGAGACCCGCCAGCGCACTATCGCTTAGTCTAGCGGTACTGCGGCGGTCCCTATCTTTCAGGGCTGTGCTCCCTTCCAATGCACTTACTCTGACATATCTGCTACTGTCGCTGAGACAGCCCTTGCTGCTGAGACTTCTACTGCGGCCTCAGCGCAGCCGCGTCAGGGTAGGGGCTGCCGCCCCAAGGGGGGGTGTAGCGGAGGGAAGGGTGGTGGGGGTGATGGGGGTGGGGGGGGTGATGGTGGTTCCGACGAGGGGACTGGGCCCGGTGCCCCGGAGCAGCAGCAGCAGCAACCGCAGCAGCAGCAGTCGTAGCAGCAGCAACAGCAGTGGCCCGATGCCTTTGGTGGTGGTGGCCGCGGTGGCAGCCCTCGCAGCTCGGCGTCGAGTGGCAGCTTCGGCGATGTGGGTTGCTAGTACCAGCTCTAGACCGGCCCCTTCCGTGGCACTATGTGTGGTCGTACCAGTCACTCTGCCGCTCGCTGCTTCCACCGCCGCGACGATCTCTTCCGCCTCCGCTTCGACCCTGCGCCGGACCTTCCCGACTAGCCCAGTCTGGTGCGTCGTTATGTGCCTGTCGTTGAGATGGATATGGATCAACTTTGCTCTGCCTTACATGCCATGTATGTTGATGCCTCTAGTGTGATTGGACCTTATTACCCTATGTTGCCAAGTGTAGGTGTGCCTCCTGTCTGTAGTCTAGGTTCCCCCGCTGCGTCAGGCATAGGACCTTCCGTCTTGTTTAGCCTAGGCTCCACACTAGCCCCTCCGCCGCCTGCTGCTACCGCATTGCTCTCGTTCACGCTTGACTCTGGTGCGTCTGCCTCCCTCTTCTGCGACCACACTGCTCTCACACTACTAGTCGCCCCTGCCACTGTCTCGCTTGCAGACCCCTCCTCAGGTCCGGTAGTTGCCTGTAGCTCCACTACCCTTCCCTGTCTGGCGGTTCCCTCGGCCTCCCTTACAGGCCTGCAAATTCCCTCGTTCTCCAGGAACCTAGTTGGTGTCGGCTGTCTTCAGGATCTCAACATCACCACTACGTTCCCTAGCCACGAGCGGTATGCGGTCTCCACCGAGGCCGCCACAGGTGCCCCCCTGACCACGTTCCCTCAGAACCCAGTGTCTGGCCTGTTTACGCTCGACACTGAGTCCCCCCTGGTGAGGGCGTCCCCCCAGGGGCATGCGTCTACCCAGGTCGCTGCGGCTTGCTCGTATCGGTCGCTCACTCACACGTCGCTTCTGAGGCACCACCGCCTAGGTCACCCCGCACTCCCGCGTCTGCGTCACATGTCCCAGCACAGTCTTGTCCTAAGTCTCCCTGCGTCGCTCCCTGCCCTCCCTCCCTCGCCTGCGCCGCCGTGCATGCCCTGCATCGAGGACCGACTCCGCCGTGCTCCTCACTCCTCACTTCGCCCTGCCACTGCGCCACTCCAGACCCTGCACCTGGACGTCTAGGGGTCCCTGGGCCGCGTTGAGAGCGCTACTTTCTAGTGCTTGTCGACGACTACACGCGCTACACCATGGTGTTTCCCCTAAAGCAGAAGGCCAACGTGCCTGGTATTCTTATCCCATGGGTTGTAGCTGCACGCATCCACCGCGGTCTCCCCGTGCTATGTCTCCACTCTGACCGTGGTTTCAAGTTCGCCTTCGGTCGGCTTGGACAGTTCTATCGTGCGGAGGGCATCACCCAGTCGTACACCCTACCGGACTCCCTTCAGCAGAATTGTGTCACTGAACAATGCATCGGTTTGGTCATGGAGGTGGCTCGTACCTCCATGATTCATGCCGGTGCACCCCATTTTATGTGGTCGTTCGCTGTTCGCTATGCCGCTCACTAGCTTAACATGTGGCCGCACTCCCAACGGTCGTAGGTTTTGCCGACCCTTCTCTAGACCGGGCTACCTCATGACGCGTCCGCGTTCCACGTCTGGGGCTGCCTTGCTCATGTTCCTGCCTCTGGCATGGACAATCTCATTGCCTGCATTGTCCCCTGTGTCTTCCTTGGTTTCCCCCTCGACTCGTTTGACAGACACTTTTACCACCCGCCGTCTCACCGCATCCTTCACTCACGTGACGTCACTTCGACTAGTCTATCTCCTTCTACCACCGCTTTCCCCACCGAGGTCTCCTGGTTTTCCCGCCCTTGTTTTTGGTTCCCACTCCCACGGTAGCCCCTGCTCCCCTCCCTCCCTGTCTTGCTCCATCTGGTGTGTCTCATGTCACTTCCCTCCCGTCGGTTGTCCCTGTCGAGGATTCGCCTGACTCTGGTGGCCCTGCAGCGCAGTTCTTGCTGCCTGTTTCCGCCTTGGTGTCTCCTCCTCCGCCATCGTAGCAGCCGCCGCTGTCGATGCTGCAGCAGCAGGTGCAGTCGTCGCCGCCGCCGCAGCAGCAGTAGCCGTCCGTAGGCTCTGGGGGTGGGGGCATTGAGGAGGGTGCTAGTCTTGGGGTTCCTGTCGTGGTTCGTTCCGGCGGTCCTGGGGTTAGCACCGGTGCTGGGGAGGTTTCTCGTTCTGGGGGTGTTTGTTCTGGGGGTGCTAGTCCTAGGGTTACTGTCGTGGCTTGTCCCGACGATCTTGGGGTTGGCACCTATGCTGGAGAGGGTTCTCGTTCTGGGGGTGCTGGAGTGGAGCGTTCCGGAGGTAGCCGTGGTGCAGCTGTAGGTTCTAGTGTCGGCGTGGAGCAGTAGCAGTAGCAGTTGCTGATAAATGTGTAGTATTCTGTGGTGTAGTTTGCTCTAGCTGGTTGTGGGCTATTGGGTTTTGGGCAAAAGGACTTGGGTTGGTTGGCAAGGTTTGAACTCGTTACCTTTCCAACCCATACAACCTCAAATCCACTACAACATCTTTGATGTTGCAGTTATGGCACTTGAGAGTGTTGGGGTTTGGTCTAGGGCAAGGGTTGGTGGTGTTTGACAATCACATACTGCAACTTTTCCAGATCGAACTGCTTCCCTTCTCGTTTTTACTAGGTGATTCATGGCTGCCTAGCCAAATTACCAGAATACCCCCTCACACTGATTTCGTCATAATCGGCGGCTCAGATCTTGGTTATGAACGTGCTTTACCATTCTGGAAAGTAGAGATTAAGACCTTTCCAACGCGTATAAGCTCATTTCTAGAAGTTACCTGAGCAGCACGCAATGATTCGTTGAGGTCGTCAGACTTAATCTCTAATTAGTTCTCTCCAGATTTGCACGATTTCCATCAGTGGTATCAGAGCCACGGTTAGAGGACGTTCTTTCCTCCATTGGAAGAGATCTAGAGAGGCTTGAAGTGCTCCAGATCTAGGGTTTGACATGGCCCAAAAGTTGGATGGCCCTCCTAGGTTTACCGGCTCGGACTTTTCGCTATGGAGGTTCCAGTTCACACTATGGCTAGGTATTAAGGACCTAGAAAGTGTGTTGGATGGATCGGAGAAGCGACCACGAGCTGACTCTGGGGAGGCGTCTACTGGAGCAACCAGCCAAGTGGGATCCGGGGCTGGGGGAGCATCGTTGAGTGGGGGGAATGAAGGAGGAACCGCTGCAACTCGAACCGGAAGGTCGCAACCAAGTCGCGAGGAGTCGCTCAAAGCTCAAGAAGCATGGGATCGGAAGGATCGCCAGGCATTTCAGTACCTGTGTTGGGCTTTGGAGGGGCAACTTGAGCTTCTTAAGATGCTGATTGACCTGAAGGGGAAGGAAGGTGCAGCAGCTGCAGCTTGGAAAAGAGTGCAAGATAGGCACTTGCAGAAAGGGCTTCTAAGCGTGCTTACTTGGCGGAAGCGGTTTTACACCATGGAGCGGAACTATGGGGAGGGGGAGACCATGGTTCAGTATCTCCAGAGGGTGGATGAGAATGTGAGGGCTTTGGAGGAGCTGGATTACACGGTAGATGAGAAGGAGATCATCTATACTGCACTCCAAGGGTTGGATCAAGCGGCTAATGAGGCATTACTACAGTACCTTCACCTCGAGCAACAGAAATGGACCAAGGTGTGGATTTGGGAGGTTCTAATTTCTGATGAGGCTCGCAAGGTTGATGCTGGAAGAGGCCTAGAAGGAGGCATGGGTGCAGCAGATAAAGCTTCCTTCAGGAAAGGCTATCAACAGCAAGGAGGTGGGGGGAAGAAGAAAGAGTTGGACAAATGCCTTGTGCCCGGATGCAACAAAAAACACTCTTGGAAGAGTTGCTGGAGTAGGCCTGAGGGATGGAAGCCTCACGGCTACTCTGGAGAGGCCCCACCAGTGACCAAACCTGATTGGGTGGAGAAAAGGATGAAGAAGGGGCTCTGGAATAAGAAGGGCAGCAAGGGAGCAACGGCCGCAGCTGCTAAGGATGAGAAGGGGAAGGGCCAAGACGACTCCTCCGATGATGGTTTCTCGTTTCTCATGCTAGGGCAGGATGCAGCTCTCGCTGGTCGTGCATTGGCTGATCCCAACTTCCTGGTTCTAGACTCTGGAGCAACATCTGGGATGCTTCCTCGCCGTGATCTCTTCACCTCCTACCATCCTCTCCCACCAAATTCGAGGAACGTGATTGTTGGGAGCGGAGATTTGCTGCAAGCAATTGGCATCGGTACGATCACCATTAAGGGGAAGGAGGGGGAGCTAGTGGGTGTGAAGGGGGTCCTTCACATCCCTGGTTTGGCTGCAAACCTTCTTTCATGCTCGCAGCTGGCTAAACAGGGATACATCTGCACTTTCACGGAGGGAGGGTGTACTGTTAGAAAGGGTGAAGCTGTGGTGATGGAGGCAAAGCTGGACAAGGGTTTATACCTTGTTCCAGCTTGTGTGCCTAATTGTTACAAGGCAAATATGGTTTTTTCTGAGGAAGCCGCTTGTAGCACTCGCTGGAGGCAGGTGGAAACGGTGTCACCTGAGTTGCTACACCTTCGCATGGGGCACGCGGGGAAGCAGCAACTGCTGGAGTGTGTGAAGAAGGGGGAGCTGAAGGGGGTGGAGGTCAAGGAAGGAGCTGGGCAGCAGAGCAAATGTCCCGACTGCACGTCTGGAAAGCTGCCTAGAACCTCATTCCCTATCTCTTCTGATCATGCCTCGACTCCCCTTGAGCTGGTGCACACGGATGTGTGTGGACCGATGCAAACTCCTGACCGGGAAAGGGGCAGCAGGTACTTTGTCACCTTTCTTGATGACTTCAGTCGACTTAGCTGGGTCACCTTGGTGAAGACCAAGGATGAGGTGGCAAAGGTGTTTAAGCGGTGGATACGCTATGTGGAGAGGGAATCAGGGGCCAAGGTAAAGGTGTTAAGGTCAGATCGGGGTGGAGAGTACCTTGGGAAAGAACTTCAAACCTTCTTGGAAGAAAAGGGTATTACCCACCAGCTCTCTGTACCTTACACGCCGCAGCAAAATGGGGCAGCGAAGCGGCTTAACAGGACCTTGACCGATTTGGCTCGGCCCATCCTTTCCCATGCCGAGCTTGATAACACTTGGTGGGGGGCAGCAGTGCAGTATGCCAACTGGGTGAAGAACAGGATGGGCAGCAAGGGGCTTGGAGGCAAGAGCCCATACTCCTTATGGACAGGGAAGGTGCCGAATGTTTCCATGGCACGAGTGTGGGGGTGCATGGCACAGTATAAGGTACCTGACCAGCAAAGAAGGAAGCTAGATCCTAAGGCACAGTGGGGGATCTTCCTTGGGGTTTCTGAGAGGAGCAAGGCTTGGGTGCTGTGGAGTGTAGCTGACCAGCGTGTGATGGAGAGCCGTGATGTGGTTTTCCATGAGGGGCTGAATTTTAAGGGGTGGAAGGAGCATGGTACAAGCCAAAGTGGGACTTCCATTCAAGACCCTCATACGGCTTCTATCTTTGAGGGGGCATGGGAGGACCCTGGAGGGGAGGAGCAGCAGGAGGAGCCAGAACCAGCTGATCCTAACCATGAGGAGTCCCGAGAGACAGATTCTACCCCTCAGCCAGCCACGCAGGCCGATGCGCGTGATGATCAGCCGGAGCAGCATGTGCCTTCAACTCCATCGAGAAGCAGTTGGCAGCAGTTGTTGGACCAGCAGCTGTCCAAGACTCCGAGGACTCCAATGAAGAGGGTGACTTGGGAGGAGAAGCTGCGGAGGCTGGAAGAAGGAGAGGCAACACCTCTGCGACGCAGTGCTCGAATTTCCCAGCCACCTGAAAGGTTTACCCCGGGGCACATTGCACGCATGCATGATCATCTTGTGTCTGATTTGGATGATTGCATGCTTGTGGACATGCATGGGCATGAGTATGCTCTTGATGTGTGTCTAATGGGTCAGGTGCATGAGCCTAGGTCAGTCCACGAGGCGCTGAACCGTCCAGAATGGGTTGAGTCCATGCATGAGGAGCTTGAGTCTCACAAGGTAAATGGATCATTTGAGCTGGTTGATCCAGCAGTGGTACCACCTGGTTTGGAGGTCCTCAGGTGTCAATGGGTTTGGAAATACAAGCATAACCCTGATGGTACTGTTGAGAGGCCTAAGTCCAGATTGGTGGTGATGGGAAACACGCAGAAATTGGGAGTACACTATGAAGAAGTGTACTCTCCAGTTGGGAAGCATGCGACCTTGAGAGGTATGCTTGGAATTTCAGCTGCTTTGGGGCTTGATATCCATCATATGGATGTCAAGACAGCCTTCCTCCATGGGGATTTGGAGGAAGAGCTTTACATGCGGCAGCCCCCTGGTTTTGATGATGGGTCTCACCGAGTGTGTCGCCTCAAAAAGTCCATTTATGGGCTAAAGCAAGCCCCACGACAGTGGTACCTAAAATTTGATGAGGCTCTCATGGATTTTGGGTTTGAGAGATCTGAGTGTGACCCTGCCTTGTACCACTTTGTGAGAGATGAGGAGCGGATCTCCTTATTCCTCTATGTGGATGACCTTTTGCTCCTATGCTCTAGCAAGGCTTTGCTAGATCGAGTGAAAGAGTTCTTGTCCTCGCGTTTTCGCATGAAGGACTTGGGGGAGGTGAAGTACTACTTGGGAATGCAAATTGAACGTGATGAGAGTGGTATCTTGATTCATCAAGAGAGGTACATTCTTAACATGCTTCAGTCCTTTGGTCTCTCAGAGGCCAACCCCGTGCGTACTCCTCTCCCAACAGGCTTTGATGTGCATGCCTATGAGGATGAACCCTTGCTGCGAGATGAGCTGGTCAAGCTCTACCAAAGCATTGTGGGATCCCTCATGTATGCTTGTACTACCACACAGCCACAGATTGCCTTTGCAGTCTCACAGCTATCTAAGGTCGCCTCTTGTCCTAAAATGTTTCACTTGCAGGCCGCTAAGAGAGTGCTGAGGTACCTGAAAGGTGGTGTCAAGTCAGGTATCTTCTTCCAAACACAGCCCCAGTCTCAGGTCCAGCTAGTTGGCTTCAGTGATGCTGACTATGCTGGAGATTCCGCAAGTCGCAGGAGCCACAGTGGGTATGTGTTCTGTCTGAATGGGGCAGCTATCTCTTGGCAGAGCAAGAGGCAGCCCGTGGTAGCACTCTCTACCACTGAGAGTGAGTATATAAGTCAGTGTCAGTGCATTCAGGAGGGTGTCTGGCTGAGGCGTTTGTTTGGGGAGTTTGGTCATGATCATGCTGGTGGTGTGCCTGTGTTTGTGGATAATCAGTCTGCCATTGCCCTTGCACAGAATGCATGCTTGCATGGCCGCACCAAACACATGCAGGTCCGGTGGCATTTCATTCGGGAGATGGTAGCTGCGGGTGAGGTGATTTTGCAGTGGTGCCCTACCAACCGTCAGGCTGCTGATATTCTTACCAAGTCTCTTCCATTTGAGCGCCATGGTGTGTGCATGACCTTGCTCGGGATGCAGCCCCATGATGACAGGGTTCCCGCAGCAGATGCCGGCGTCTTGGTGCTCCTCTCCTTGGCGGACTCCATGCTCTGGGTGGCCCCAACCCATGAGCAAGGGGGAGTGGTGTGAAGTCTTTTGCCCTATGGTGTTGAGCCACACCCAGCACGAGCAAGGGGGAGTGATAAATGTGTAGTATTCTGTGGTGTAGTTTGCTCTAGCTGGTTGTGGGCTATTGGGTTTTGGGCAAAAGGACTTGGGTTGGTTGGCAAGGTTTGAACTCGTTACCTTTCCAACCCATACAACCTCAAATCCACTACAACATCTTTGATGTTGCAGTTATGGCACTTGAGAGTGTTGGGGTTTGGTCTAGGGCAAGGGTTGGTGGTGTTTGACAATCACATACTGCAACTTTTCCAGATCGAACTGCTTCCCTTCTCGTTTTTACTAGGTGATTCATGGCTGCCTAGCCAAATTACCAGAATACCCCCTCACACTGATTTCGTCATAATCGGCGGCTCAGATCTTGGTTATGAACGTGCTTTACCATTCTGGAAAGTAGAGATTAAGAACTTTCCAACGCGTATAAGCTCATTTCTAGAAGTTACCTGAGCAGCACGCAATGATTCGTTGAGGTCGTCAGACTTAATCTCTAATTAGTTCTCTCCAGATTTGCACGATTTCCATCAGTTGCCACCGTGGTCTGCCCTTTGCATGCTTTGCTTTCCCTCCCCTGACCACCCGCCTGTGCCTCCCTCGCCGCCGCCTCCTCTGCCTGTCTAGGGCCCTGTGTTTCCGCCGCCAGACTCGTATCTGGCTCGTTTCCCCCCTCATTATCCTCCTATGACTCCTCTTGTGTCTCCTGACCCGACACCTCCATCCCACTTCTGGTCTCGTCGTCCTTCTCCTCCAGTCTCTTGTGTCTAGCGCTCTTACTCGCTGTTGCTTCGTTCCCATGCGTCTCGTCCTCCCCTCCTTCCCCCGCCTCCTCCATCGTCGCTTGTTGTCGCATCGCCTCCTTTGTCTGACTACCTTTATGCCGTTTGTCAACTTGTTCCTTGAGTCCTTGCCTCCCTCGTTACCGACTTGTCTCTTCCTGTCTCGAGTCTTGACGCTCTTCTCGCTACTGCCGTTGATTTCGCCTCTACCCACAGTGTTGACTATGCCACCATTCTGGTCTCTTACCCTGTATGTCCTCCATCCATCAGGGGCGCTGCAGCCCTTGGCAGTGACGTCCTAGAGGACTGGCAGTACGAGCTTGCTTTCATGTCCGAGGCTGCACCTCATCTCTGCTCCATGCTGCTATTCCCTGAGGGAGACCCGTCCGCCTTCGATATCCCGACCCCTCGCACCTATGCTGAGGCGACCTCGGGACTCTGGGCCTCTCAGTGGATAGCTGCCATGGACGCTGAGATGGCATCTTGGAGATCCACCGGCACCTACGTCGACGCAGTTCCCCCACCTGGGGTGAATGTAGTCAATGGCCGTTGGCTCTTCAACGTGAAGCGGCCTCTTGGAGAGCCGCTGGTGCTCAAGGCTTGCTACATCGCTAGAGGCTTCAGTCAGCACGAGGGTGTGGACTTCTTCAAGACCTTAGCCTCGACCCCGAAGATGACTACACTTTGGGTGCTACTACACGTAGCAGCACAGTGTGACTACGAGCTGCGCTCTCTCTACCTCTCGATAGCTTCTCTTCAGGGAAGTTTGCACGAGCAGGTCAACCTGCGCCGTCCGCCAGGCTTTACCCTGGGGACTGAGTGGCTCCTCCGGTGCCCGGTTTACGGCCTGCGGAAGGCACCGCGGAAGTGGCACGACACGCTGCGTGCTACGTTAGCTGACCTGCAATTCTTCCGGTCGTCTGCAAACCCTTCACTTTTCGTTCTTGCTGGCCAGCCCCCGTTATACATCTAAGTCTACGCAGACAACCTGGTCTTTCCTACTGTAGACAGAGAGGTTTGGCCTCTGTGAAGGCTGAGCTACTGAGGAGACACACCTGCATTGACCTAGGAGAGCTACGCCGCTACCTTGGCCTGCAGATCTCCAGGGACAGGGCAGCACGCACCATCACTCTCACATAGTCACACTTGGTGTGCCATGTCCTTCAATGGTTTAGCCTTCAGCTCTCCTCCACACTGCCCACACTTCTGCCAGTAGATAACAGCCTCTCGGCTCCAGTCCTTGAGGAGTCTATAGAACCTAGTGGTCCTTACGCAGAGCTGGTAGGTTGCCTCATGTACCTGATGACTTGCACTCGTCCAGATCTCGCATACCCTCTCAGCATTTTAGCTCGCTTTGTGGCCACAAGCAGACACCCACCACAGCTAAGAGGATTTTGCGTTATTTAGTGGTACATCGGGCATGGGGCTAGTGCTAGGAGGATGCAGGCCAGTCGTCCTTACAGCGCACATAGATGCTTCGTGGGCAGACGACTCTGAGATGCTCAGGTCCTCCCAGGGCTAATGTTTTAGCCTTGGTGCAGATGCCATCTCGTGGAGGTCCACCCACTCGTCGTCTATTGTCCAGTCGAGCTGCGAGGCCGAGATCTATGCTGGTGCCATGGCGGCATAGGAGCTCCACTGGCTGACTGTCTTGCTCACTGACTTACAGTAGGTGAACGGCCTAGCTCTGCCCCGATCTTGTGCACTGACAATAGCACCATGATCCTCCTGTATCACGAGCCTCGTCTTAAGGGCAGAGTGAAGCACATCCAGCTGCGATACTTCCTCTTGCGTGAGCTACAACAGCGCCGGCAGGCTCGCATAGTATACTTGGCCTCCGGTGCCAACACAGCTGATATCTTTACGAAGGCACTTGCGCCTAAAGATAATCAACGGCACTGTGTACAGCTTGGTCTAGTTCCTGTAGCTTCTCACAAGCTATGACCCTGACTGTGTACTACAATTTTTTTTTTAACTGGCCTTGCGGCTTCTGTTCCAGTGGCTGGACTAGTAGTGTCGCCCTGGGTTACTCATGTTTAGTTTGTACTCTTGCTTACTGGTCTTCGGACCCTTGCCTCATAGGTTGGACTAGTAGTGCCACCCTGAGCTGTGTGTCTCTTGCTAGTCGCTGGCCCTTGTCTAGCCTAGGGGGTGTGTCAACATATAATTGTATACTGTATGTTATAGGCTAGCTAGGTGCATGTTTATATAGAGTACAACCCCTTAGGTTATATCCCCTTGTACCACCTCATTCTAATCAAATCGTTCTACTCTAAGAATATGACCATCCTGTTAGTGTACGTAATCTAAACAAAGCTGTGTGAAGTGGTGTGTCAGGACTCAGGAACAACACTAGTCCAGCAACTAGTCTCGGGTGCTTGCTTTGGTTCTTTGAGGTTCTCTCCATTACAGGCCTAGGCAAGTAGGACAGTGGGCTCACATCAAAGATTGCGCAAGAAAAAATAATAGAATTATTTGCGCCGAATAATCAATTAACGAATGTAGAGAAACAAATGAATTGATTAACTTCGAAACTTCTACCCTAACTATATCAAGGATGAAAGTGCACAGCTGTCTACACTCTCGCCCCATTGTGCCAGCACCAATCACGGAGCAGCCTCGGAGCAAGGGCAGGCGTCCGAGCGTGGCGTGCTCCTAGACCCAGGCACACCTTCCGAACCTGGGGCGCCGCTAGCAGCCGCCTTTGCCTCCTCCGCTTCAGCCTCCGCGGCCTCCACAGCCGCGGCCTTTTCCGCCACGATTCTGTTAGCCTCCGCTCTGCGGGCCTGCACAGCCTTCAGCGCTGTGCCGCGGTTTTTGCCACCTTTTCTGCCGCCTTCGCCGTGTCCTCCGTCGCCTTGGCATCCGCCTCCACCTTCTCCGCCGCCAACTCCGCTGCAGCCACTTTGTTCAGCTACGCCTGATCCTCCGGAGTGAGCGTCACTTTGAGCGTCCACGCCGCCTCCGCCGCCGCCTTAGTTGCCTCCAAGTTAGCTGTGGATTCTTCCGCGGATGCGTTATGTTCTCCCTTCGCCAGCTCCGCCGCCTTCGCTTTCGCCTCCGCCATCTTTGCCGTGCCGCTGCCCTTGCCCTTGTTCTTGGCAGCGTGTGCAGCGGCCTTGATCGCGTCGTCAGCGGCCTGCTGCTGCACGCCGGCCGCTGCCACGGCCTTGTCTTTATTCGCCTTCGCTTGGGCAGACTTTTCCAGCGCCTTTTGCGTCTTTTCCTGCGCCTTCTGGTGCTTGTCTGCGGCTTCCGCCTTCTTCTTCAGCCCAGCGATCGCGTGCTTCGCGTCTGTCGCGTTTTTTCGCGCCTGTTTCCCGGTAGCCTTCGCTGCGGTTGCCACCGAATTTGCCGCCTGCCAATCCGCTGCCGCCTTCAACGCCGCTGCCTCCGCCACGCCACGTTGGCGGCGGCGGTTGCTTCTTCAGTGGCGCGAGCAGCAGCGACTGCCTCACCTGCGTCCAGCTCAGCAGCAGCCTGATCAGCGGCTGCTCTCATACGAATTGCGATCTCCTCTAGGGTTTCTTGTGTCTCAGCTAGACGAATACACCTCGAATCTGCACCACGAGGTCCACTCAACAGGAAGAAATTTACCAGTACCGGAAAAGATAAAGCGATGCTTGATCGTCGTCACAAAATTTATGGCCCCAAAATCATGCCCCCAAACATAGCACACTTTGCGGAATGCCATGGGTGCACTGCGTGAAGTGTTCCGCAACATGCTGCGAACTGTGCCACCAGGTCAGGGAGTGGGGGAACGATGTAGTCCCGTTTAGACTGGGCCATGGAACATGGTCCGTTTGTGAGACAGACTACATGTGTAATTAAGGATGGGGTGATTTGCATCAGAATGGGATTTTGAGAGTGGCCAGGAGCCAAAAGAAACTAGGTACACCATTACCATGCGCCTGCCAGCATGGTCGTGGGAAGGACAATTTGTCGAGTGGTTAAGATGAGGTAGCTCAGCAAGGGACCAGCCTGGGAAAGCCAGGGATGGGGGGAAGGGGGGGAGGGGAAATGGAAGATGAGCACTACAGAAATGGGATGTCACTGCCCCCACGATAGTCATCATGTTGGGAGGAGGGCAGGATAGTTGGTTGGATGCTGAGAGAGGTGACAATTTGGCGGGGCAGCGTGGGAAACGACACAGAGCATGATTAGAGACGTTCTTTAGGGGCAAGAGTGCCGTGCCAAAACAGATTCTGGCACCGATCGAGTAATGGGACTGCAGGGAAGAGGAGGCAGAGGGTAATGTACAATTAGCACTAGAATGAATGTGGAAAGAATAGTTGTGCAATTTGGGGTGATGGTGCATGCATGGTGAGAGACCATGGCCAGGGTCATGGGCTGTGAATCAAGAGAAGGGAGAGTCCTTGGAAAGGTGAATAGGGAGCTGGATACATGGGGGTGAGGGGGGGGGGGAGATGGGGTAAGGAGGTTTGCAGGAAATATGGACGTGGGACGAAAGAAAAGGCAA